ACACACACACACACACACACACACACACACACAAAGCAGGTATAATTTTTACTTAACCAAAGAAGATTTTGTGAAAATCTAGGTTTTTGAAAGAACTACATGCATGTGGTTTCCTTAAAGCTAAGAGGTGGCCTTCTATACTGCCCACAACTCATAACAGCAACAGTAACAATGGAGTCCAAATCATTAGCAAAACATAATTATCTATTTTCATACATGGCAGACTAATGAGAAACACTTCTGAGATAAGGAAACCCTTTTCTTATTAAAGTTTGTTTTCTATAAAGTGAATGGCAATATTTTCAAAACATTTACAATATCTATCTATTCTGTTATTAACCATAATCTCACTGCTTGTCATATTATTATTATACATATATATCATTTAGAATATGAGACATTATAGTGCTTATAGAATATTCTTATATATTTACATATAAAAATGGCATTGAGAAGAGTCTTTCTAATCACTAAAAAAGTAGAGTCTGGCATGATATTTTTAATACAGAAATTTATTTTTATTGTGTATTGCACCTTGAATGCCTGTAAATATGAATGATTAAAAGTTTACAAGTAAAAGAAAAGAAAAACAGAAACAGTTATGAACCACTTATTTGGAAAAGAGCACTCAGAAACTTTTTATATGTATTTGTATGTCTTGCACGCATTACTGATGCGCTTCCTGTGGTTGTTTACATGCTTTCCATATTTTCTTTGCACATTTAAGGCATCTCTAACTCTTTAAAATTCTTCAATTATTTTAATCTATTTGCATGCCAGTATTAATGACTTGGTACACATTGACCAGATTATCAAGGTATACTGTTTATTAAGTATCTATATGCATATATTTCTTTTTTTTCTATGCAAACATTATTATGTTGAATGAAATAGCCATAACATTCCAGGTTCTGCCTCATTGGGTCTCTAAGCAAACATGAGTCTGAGTACAACACAACTAGGGTCTAAAAGACAAACTTGAGGTAAGTAAATATATAAATGAATGTCAAATGCCTCATCTGTTGCATTCCATTTTATTCTGTTACATACGGAAATGTCTGATGTTTCCAAGTTGTATGCTAGCTAGTTAACAATTTGCATATAAAGTATCAGCTTTGAATGTTGAGAGAGTTGCAATTACATATTGATGATTACTTGCACATTATAAACTAAACATATACTCTATTAAATTCTCATATTCAACAGTATTGTAATCATTCCATAGCTAAATATAACCTTCATTTTAAGCACACTATGAAGACAGATGCTTTGCATGGCTTGGGTGCTAAACTTGTATGTCTGTGTATGTATGTGTGGGAGAAAATAAAATTTTATAAATGTCCCAGCATGTGATATGCTATGTAAAACATAGCCTAACCTATTTTAGTCACAAAGATATGGAACTATATGCCGTCAGTTCATTTTACTCATGCAACATTGTGAGGTGTTAGAGGAGTGGGATGGGGGGCAAGGAGAGACCGTTAATTTTAAGTTTTAATATTTGCCACTTACAATTAATTTTAATTAAATGGTTTACTAGGCTGTTCACTTCCTTTAATCTGCTATCACTGACACTTAACCTGAATAAATATAATCTCAATTTTTATAATGAAGTTATAGGCAGATGACAGACTGGCACTTATATATATCATATATGTATATATGTATGTTTCTATGTGTATATATGTATATATCATTTTATAGGGGAAAATGTGTGAAATGCTTTAATATTTTTGTGATAAGTAGATAAGTATTTGTCTACCTATATTTTCCTTTATGGGGAGAAAATATTTTAACTTTGTTTTGTTTTCAGAGAAGAACTATTTATACAAACATGGGAACTGTGAAAGGAAAATCTATAATGAATTATTTCAACTGTCAAAAGAAAGTGGACATGTTTCTAAATTCATTCCACTGCCTTTATCCAAACCTAAGAATTACAGACATTTCTTACTTCCTCAGCAAGATATTCCCATTGCACAATAACATGTTTATTTTGTAATTTGGTTGCTGGCCACCAAGTGCTCCTTAGTTTCTAAATACATTTTGAGATTTACTGGAAACTTGAAGAAGAAATTAATTCCTGATTGAGACTATCCCAGATTTATTTTTTATCTTAGTTTTATTTTGGTTGCTGTTTTATGTCTCTGTTAACTATTTGTATGTTGTGTGATATGTGTAAGAAGGTGATTTACATTGAAATTTTGTTATATGTACATTGTTTTCATTATATAGACTGCTTGAGAATAGTGCGCTCCTGGGTGATTTTGAACATGCTACAATGAAATGTGAAACTATCGACCATGGAAACACCAGCTAGAGGTTTTATGGACATTCGACCAGCTATTCTCATATCATGATAAAATTCAGCAAACAGTATTGAGTAAATTTAATAGATGGCAATAAGACTATGGTTATTATTATTAGTCTTTCCCCATCTTTTCACGTGCTCTCCTTCTCCTTCTTCTCCTTCTCCTTCCCGTTCTCCTTCTCTGTGTCTCTTTTCTCTACCTGCTCTTTTAGTTACAATATAAGATACCCAATTTTGAATTTCAGGAATAATTTATTGAAATCAGGTATTTAGCCATTCATCATCACTTCAACAGAAATGGTTTTGGGATAAGCATCTAGCAATATGACTGAATTTGACACTGAGAAAATAATCTGCATGTATGTTACTGAATATTTGAGTTGGCAAAAAATCCCTTTTATTAGATACATTGTAAAAAGCATGCATTCACAATTACTGCTGTTGTTGTTCCATTTTTTGTGTCATATGCTTGCTACTTGTAACTTTTTATATAAAGGTACATAAAACAATGTATAATGATTTCTTACCTTGAGTTTTAAGGTAATGTTTCCATTTCCTTAATCAAAACCCAATGGAAATTGACCAAGTCTGTTTTGTGTACTTAGCAATGTTTAATTTTTAGAAACTAAAGATCAAGGCTAGCAAATCACATCTCTAAAATCATCCCCTTCTCTCTCTCCCCAACCAGCCAATCAATCAGGCAAACCAAGAAAACACATCTTATTTAAATAATTTTCAGTAGGTTAAAATGTTTGCACAGCAAATAAAGATTTTCACCTGTAGGTTTAATTAAATTGAATTAAAGGATAAAAACATGGGGGAAAAGAAATCATTGATTCTGTCCTCCTAACTGAAATGTAACTTCCACTGCCTTCAAGAGTGTTTCCCAGAATTTGCACTTTTAAGAAGTATAAGATCAGACCTTTGTTGGTTATATTAAATTTATAGCTCGAGACTAATTCTGGAGATATATGGCTTACCACTGCATATATAGTAATACCAGCTGCAATTCATGAATGAAGATGCATGTTGATATGTAATTAATATTAAAACTGATCCTTAATGATTAAATTCAGTAAAAAAAATAATACAGTATGTGAATAAATTCTAAATGATCCAGAAGAGTATATAACAAAATTAAAATATATATGTAGTTTCTTTGGTACCTCCATGGCCCAATGCAAGATCTGTAGTTTAGTTTACCCCATTTGACTTTTGCCTGACTAAAGATCATAAGAGTTGGTCATGTGTTGTTTCACACAGAATTATTGCAAAAGTTTGACATAGTTTTCAACCTGGGCAGGTGGTAGGGAGGGAAAGAAGCTAAAAGCATTTCACCAAGCTCTGAATAAGATCTCTTTCTGAAAAGGAACAGACCTATCTACTTGTGTTACATTTACTTTTTTATTCTAAAAATAACCTGATAAGAAAATGTGGCTCAAATCTCATACTGCTAAAGAATGGTACAAAAAAATCAAAGTTTAAAATGAAAGTATATTTGTCAAATCTTTTGTGTATGTACTCTATATACTAACTGCAAACAGAGGAAATCCAAACATGTTTCTGCAAATCTGACTTAGGAATGCACAAGAACAATATTTTTATAGCAGCATACCTCACTTTTGTACTATGTATATTTGTAATATACTTTAATATTCCAATTTAGCTTTACTAGTTTATTACCGCTTACAGGTCACATACATCAATCCTACTTTCCATACCATCAAGTGAATTTCACCACTGAATTCAATGGCACTCCTACATTTATATATGGTCAGTTTCCATATTATGACTTCAGTTTTGAAATTTGGTAGCAGGTCACTGTTTTTCTAATCTTTTTAACATACTGTTGGATATTAATTTCTTAAGACCATTGTGACAACATTTCTACCACCTCCAGACTTAGCTCTAAGTTTTTTTCCATTATGAAATCAAGGATGGAAGAATGAAGAACTTAGTAGTTTTTGGAGTACTGCAATATAAATCCATGTTACATCTTTGCTCATTTAGTATGAGGCTGCATAAAGATAGAACGGGGAGACTGCAATTTGACATGACTGCATTACTCATGATTGTTAGTGAGTTTTTCAGTTCACCTC